GGGGGGGGGGGGGGGGGGGGGGGGGGGGGCGCAGATGGACCACGGGAGGCGAGCAGGCAGGCAAGCAGCAAGTCCCGCACGCCCATGCAAGCCTAGCTGACAGGGTGCCAAGTGGGCCCCCAAGCGGGCCCAAGTCCCAGGGCTGCACCGACAGGGCAGTCCAAACATACACCATGGACCAATGCGGCCTATCGCTTACTCACACAAAGGGCACACACAGCACAGCCCACGGCCCCACGGGAACCTTGGGCACAGCTTGAAGTACCTGAGTGGGGCGAGCGACCCATGAAACCAAGTAGGAAATATGAAACCAGGTTGGTCCCATGGAACCCGGGCCCTTATGGCACCAGGAGCGCCAAATGACACCCAAAGATTGATCATGCAGATGGACAGCCAGATACAAAGAATATGGGCAGGGAGATGTGCAGAGACAAAGAGCGCCTTTTTTGCTATGGTGCTAGCGAATACAACGTATGGTCATTATATAGCCATATTTTAGACGGAAAGATAGCCCAAATACAGCTATAATACTAATAATAGTATAATGACTGAATGTTCTATTTGGGTGAAGAAGGCAGTGGAGACAGGCCTTACAATGGATCACTGATGAACCCAAAGATTGCTCTTTTTTTTTTTTCCTTCTTTTTTTTTTTTTGCTCTTTAATCAAGGCCATATCATGGTTTAATCTTGTGAGGGGCAAGACGATGTTATGGAGTCATATGGACGCTCTGGTCTCAAAGGCATACTTGGAACTGGGAGGATTCCCTGCGGTCTTCACCCGAATACAATGTACGCATTGTATGGTCATTATCGCTGCATCGAGACTGAAAGTTGCCCCAAATACAGAATCTAAAATGAACATGATGTGATCTATTCAGGTGAAGACGGTAGTCTCAGGGGCAGGGCCCTTCAGTCTTCTCCCAAATTGCAATCGGACTCGGATTATTCACACTTGTCTTGCATGCAAACAGCGATACAGCAAACTGGCGACATGCGCCCACACAGTACTCAAAGATATCGTAACCGGATAAGAGTTCTCTTCAACTGGCTATGGCGGCTCTGCGCCCACACAACTCACTGTTCGCACTCTGGATCACCCTGGATGTCCCACACGCAACACTCAGTGCTCATACGCAACACACACACACACTGTACTACAGCTATGACAGTGCTAGCTGCCACTACCCTATCGCTATACTACACTTCACTGCCCACTTCGACTTCGGGCGCACTGCAGACCTCCTCGCACAAGCTGCTGAGGCAGC